TCCAGCGTTTGTAGTTCAAGAACTGGTGGTCAGAATTACATTCATTATTGCTTATTAGAGAAAAATCCTTTCGCTAAAGAGAGAGAGAAAGTTCGGCTGTGATAATTAACCTTAAAGACCTGCCAATACTCAGAATTATGTAATAAGTGAACTGGAAACGGTTAATATAATTAAGGCACAACAAACAACGAAGATATTTTCCGAAAACTTCTGTGTGTGTGTGTATCAGAGGAACACGCGCCTGTAATGCCATTTTCAAACGAGTATTAGAATCATTAGCCACTGGCTGGTGCGTGTGGTTAAAACTGAAATTCTGATTTTCCTAGTACAAGTGTTATCTCGCTACATGAAGCAGCATCTCTCTTGACAAGCCGACAGTAGCTCAGGTGATTAACAAATTTCCCCCCCCCCCCCCCTTTAATGACAACGCTCATTACAATGTTCACAACAGTCAGCCACTGGACCATATACAAATTCAGATAGATCCAGTCCACTCCCTCTCATTTCTTTATTATTATACCTAATTATCTTTCAAGGTTTACAGACTATATGTTTGTATATATTTTGCATATCCCCTACACATGCTCAATTTCTCGTACATGTCACCCCCTTTTTGCTTTGATCATAGTAACATTAGGCCTTTGTTGAGTACGTGAACATTATAATTGCGTAAAGTTTTCTAATCCCTGCCACTTACCCTCTTTAAACAGTTCTATTCAGCACCCTGTCCTCGGACACTGTCATCACGTTCTTCCCTCAAAGTAACACAGAAGTCTCACATCCATAAAGGACTCGTTTCTCGTAGTCTGTTCCCACGTTCAGGTTTCGTAACAGAGTAAACCTAATTAAAATTATTCTGCCTAGAAGGCTCTCTTCTTTAGCGCCGTTTACTCTTAAGAAATTTACTATATTATCAGAGGTCGACTCATCGCCCTGATGATGGAGGCAGCAGGGACCTCTGAAACGTCGGTAGACTACACGGCGCTACAACCCAGAAGACAGTCATCTTCATTCTCACTGCCGTGAGAACCTCAGATCCTATTTATTCTGCCGACTTTTTATTTTGGACAGACGTCACCGTTTGGGACCAGCTTTCAGTTCTCCCCATCAGGGAGACGCCGTCCGTCCTGTCAGTGTGAAGTGTCTCGGGTGAGTTCCTTCCAAAGGCTTTGTGACTTACCGCCTCTTAAGAAAACCGCCCCATTAGAGTCTACATTATAGATAATGGTGAGTCGCAGATGGACAGGCACGTGCGCTCTTTAATACGGCATCGAAGAGGCCAGTTCCTCTTAAGTATAAACAATATGGCGTCAATATTTCATGAAGCAGATCTACCTCTCATATATATATTCTACAATAAGTTTATAGATTTTTTTCTATATTTCCGTAGTCATTTATTTTATTTTATTTATTTGTAGTGTTCTGGCTGACGACAGGTCCATATGAACAGGATCCTTCCATCCTTTTCTCGGACTGGGACCTGTTCATATACGTTCTTGGCAGATGATCCAGAAGTGGTTTGCCATTGCCTTCTTCTGTGTGTGAATGGAGTAATTGTTGGGATGCCACGGAGGAAAACTCCGTGTTGCCTAGACCACGGCCTTGCCCAACACAAGTTATAAATTCGGGCACCGCCGGGAATCGAACCCGAGACCCCCAGGATTACAAGGCCAAGGCAATAATAATCTAAGTAACGCGTTATCGTAAAACAAACAGGACTTACTAATATCTCAAGTGAATTAACAAAAGTGAGTTATAAAAGAATAAAATAAGGGAATAATAAAAAAAATACCTCGGATACTAAAAGAAATTAGTGGCTATATGTCTATGACGCATCAAAAACCAGGCTAATGGCGGACGATCAAAGTTCATTATGTTTCTGATGATCATATTTTCTATTTAAAGAATACTTCATTAGAGACAATTACGAATCTCTATGTCCGTACCGTAGACAATTCGAAGCTGTTACGTGTCTCGTAATCACGTAAGGAGGTTCGCAAATTTTACGTTCTCCTTCTCCCAAAGTCCCTCCGTTAAAGGCATTACAATAAAACAGATCACTGATCACTGTCATGTTTACTTTTTCCATTTGACACTTCAAGGCTCGTTTTGATTAGCAAATTCGAAAGCAGTTAAATTTATTTGCAATGGTGGTACGTCTTCCTAATGAAATGAAACTTATTGAACGATCAATATATTTTATTTATTTTTCTACGTGTTCGCTAGAAAGACGCAGAAATTCGCATATCAGCTTCTCTATATCCGTCCGTCTGTCTGTCCGAATATAAGACTCGAGACCCGATGAACGGAGTTTCATGATATTTTATATTGGTGAGTAAAATATGTCTGCGCATTCCAATTTTGGTCTAAATCGGGTAACAATAACGATAATTTTTCATGGCGACTGCACTCGTTTCTGCGATAGACTAGCTGAATTATCACAACGAAAAGAATTTCCAACAAAACTTATGTCCTATACGTTTTTTCTTTTCGAGATAATTAAACAGGAGGTAGTTTTTGGTGTCCAATGTTTCGTAACTCCTTGACCTTTGGATTGAGTTTTGTCAAATTCCATTTTGAAGGTATATTTCATAATTGTTTACTTTAGATTGTGACCAATTAGCATAAATCTGACTACAATAACAAGTAATGTAGACCTTCGAATGTTTGTACCTTTCAGATTCAGTGAATTCAAGCCCTTATCTCTTCAGATACATACGTTCAAGTATTAATTTCCAGAATCCATACCTGTACGAGAAAAAATACAAGGCTATATTTTGATTTATTCCTTAAAATTCAGAAATGGAAGTGATGGGAGATTTTCCAAGTAACTAAGGGTCCATATATCTTTTTTTTTTTTTTTGGTATGGATGGAAACACAGTAAACATGAAAGGTGAATAGCATTACATCACGACCGTTGCAAATCGCAGGTTGAGTATAACGTTGTTGAAATTATAAAACAGTTATGAAATATTCGCAAGAACCCCGGAAAACTAAACTCACGTTCAACATCAAGAAAGAATATATCAGTATTTAATAAATTACGATGCATGTATAAACTCTAAGACAGATATTTTATGAATTTGTACATACACAATCAAAACTAGTAATCAGGAGATCCACAGCTTGCGCTGTCAATCAGAAAATAATTGGGCGAACAAATCAATGAGGATGACGTAGGCAGGGTGAGGGGGACACGAGAGATGCGTAAAAAAATTTTGTTTGAAAATCTGCAGGGAACAGAACGCTCGGAGGACCTATGTGTAAATGGGGATAACATTAATACGAACCTTACGAAAACTCGGTTTGGGTGTGCGATTTCTTGACTACCTGAGGGTACTATTTGCCTCTTAATGACTCTTCGACGAAGATAATTATCTGGTGATTTACATACACACGTCAAATTTAAATATATCACGACACGTTCTGGTGTCAGTGTGAGAACAGCTTAAATATTACGCGTTCATTACAAATTTGTTAAGTCTGAAACAAGCCGAAAACTTCGACAATCTGAACTTTACCAATTAAAACTGCGTTAAAATTACAAGCCTGATTTAAGTCTACTATATGTCTTCGTGTTTTTGTTTTTTCGTTTGTGTAAAAGAGCAAAGAGAAGTATTGGATGGGAACCAAAATAAAAAATAAAAATATATTAAGTTGAAAGGAAGAAATGTCTAACCCAGAACAATCTAAATCGATAACCATTAATTAAAGCTTTCCTCACAGCCAGCCTTCAGGTCTAATCCTTAACGTTTGAAATATCTTTTGAAACGATGCCACGAACATTCTGTTCAAAATATATTGATTAAGAGAGATGAAAGTCATACGAGTTATTTAAACCTTGTTTTCAGGCCTGTCGACTTACATTCCTCCCAATTTCAATTAAGGAGCCAAAAATAACCATGGATACAAGAGATCTTCGCGTGAAGTGACGAAAATTTGCGGGCCTTGTAATAACCTAGATAAAAAATTTCAACAACAGAAGCGAGGCACTGTGCCTACAGGAAAATACGCCGTTTGTATGTTACTTTCATTATTTATACGCCGCTGTATCAACTGTTGGAAACATAATACCCTTAACACGTTCGGTCAGGGTTCGAACCGGCTTCCTCCCAGAAGGAATTACTTAATTTGATAAGTCACCGAGCCTTTCGTGTTCTACTGTTTAGCCATTTGAAATTAGCAAAAATAATTAATTTTATAAATAATTACTTTATTGTTCCATCTACATCGAGGTCTAACCAAGTCCGCTTTCCCCTACAGATTTTCCGATCAAGATATTGCAAAGAATTTCTCATCCCTCTCATGTCTGCAACATCCCCCACCCATCCGACACAAATCATCATTATCATCACGTTTGTGCCGTGGACGACTTCAAAAAGCCACCAGATATCGCGAGCTGCACTCATAGGCGTTTCACGAGTCACAATTCATCAACAGAATACAAAAAAAAAAAAAAAAATTATACATCATCAGCATATTAAGGAGTAATTTTAAGGTACCATCGGGGTGTGTTTGTTACAGAAACTATAATCAAGTCACTTTTAATGACTCACTTCAGCGAACGTGAGGAAATTCTTTCGTTATGTTTCACAAAGAACTATTTCCATCTCTCTAATAATAGTACGCTGGCCTGTAGGCAAATTAAAGCAACCTTCTTTGCAGTTAATTATGACTATAATTATGCTTACGTCATTCATAAATCCAGTTTATTATATTTAAAGCAACTTCAAAATATAATTCACCTATGGAAAAAAATCCATTATTTGCACAGTTTTTAAATAGTCTGTACCAAAATATTCAATTCGCTTATTTATTATGATAATATTATGAATTTATAATCTTGTTCACTCATACTTATAATATGGATGTTCGTCTTTAGAAATGTCCTGCTGGTTTTAACTTACGTGCACAGTGAAAGAACTGTAAGAAATTAACCTGGAAATGAGAGCAAATACGTAACTTTGGTTCCAGGAAGACATGTAATGAGTGGGCTTACCTTTCTTCGGGATCAGTGACTTGAGGAGTAGGACCGCGTTCTCGTCGCACGCCCACGCGTGCATCTTCCGGTAGCTGTCTCGCCCTTTCTCCGTCAGCTTGTCCCAAGGCTTCGGTTTGGACAACAACTCGGAGACGGTGCCTTGTGAGAGTCCGAGAACGTATTTCGCGAACAATCTCTGGCCAATGTTATTTATGGACAAGAGTTCGCGTACCCTCCTCGATATGTGCAGTGTGTCCAGATTTTGCGTCGAGTATTTGTCCATGTTGTACCTCAACATCTCCTGCAATCTCGCTTCCATTGGATCTCCTTTCGGGATCAACGACTCGCCTAATCGTCCTACCATCACACCACCCGGAGTCATTGGTCCACCGTCTTCCGAGAAACGAAAAGGACTTCGAGGATCGTCGAACCTAAAAGGACTTTTCATACTATCGTCGTTTCTAAGGAAACTGAGTCCTGCGGCCACGCTAACTGGGGTGCTAGTCGGGGGCGGTGGGATCACATTATTGTTACTAGAACTCACACTGGACAGTAAGTGGCTGGTGCTGTTACACAACGCACTGGCGGCCGATATTGAGGAAGACGCATCCTCGGGAGGTGTCTTCGGGTTCCCGTTCATGAGGTGGTGATGGAGAGCGACGCCATTGTCGCCTACTGAAGATAACGTCGTCGTTGTCGTGGTGATCGCTGACGGGGACGATACTGCAGTCGTCGTGTTCACTAACGACAGTGACGTGGGCGATGACGTACAAGCGAACGACGGGGTAGCGGAAGAAGGCGGTGAGTTGTGCGGGGATGTCGAACCTTCAGGCTTGATGATGTCTGCAGACGGCGGTGGCTGGTGGGTGGAGTTAGGGGTTGCTGGAGACGACTGATGGGCATCTGTTGGCGAGTGCATACTTAGTTGTTGTTGCTGCTGGTGCTGAGCGGAAGATATGGCCGCCGCGTGGCTCTGACTCAGAATTGTCCTTTCCAGAGACCGTCGCCAATTGGCAACGATCTCTTCGCCAAGGAAAGATCCGAAAGTCTCCACGTTTTGTAGTGGGGGTGGGAAAAGCATTGCCGATGGAGGGACGGAAGGTGGCGGTGGTGGGGGTGGAGGAGGCGGTGGGGGCGGCGGTGGTACTGTCGAGGAATGCTCCAGGGAGTGGTTTGATAGCGGAAGATGAGCAGGATGGGACGCTGGAGGAGGTTGGTGAGCGGAGTCGTGCACCAGATTATGTGACGTCGTAGTTGGGGTCGTGGTTGTACTGGAGTTACCTGGAAAAACACGGAGGGAGGAGATCTGTACTGCGCTGAAGATGCTCTCAGAGTAATCTTAAATTTCGACATCAAAAGGGAAATCACCGTTATTTATATCGACACGTAATGTCAGCTTTGCATCATACTGTGACGTGTTTACTAGTCACCTACGATGTTACGAAAGACGGGTAAGGCCTGTACTCCGTATGACTTCGTAATGCATTGGGGTATACAATGATGTGTAGTATTCTCTGCAGAAGGAACCAACGATAACAGATCTATCAGACTAAGACAACACAAAACTACACACATAAATATTTAATAAACTTAAATCCTTGAACTAGAAGAAAGCTTTTCATGAATTTTATTAAAATTATATTTAGGGGCGAAAGTATTTATGAAATGTTTTGCAGATTGGAAAATGCAAAAGACAGTCTGAAGTTAACCCAAGCTACAGTACGCGACTGTAATCTTGAGACTTGCAAGGAATGCAGGAAGTCAGAAGCGTTAAAGGCTTCGTCACCCCTGCAAAGTCTCAAGATTACAGTCGCGAACTATACATAAGAAGGTGTCATGGCGCCCCACCGCAACAGAGTAGCAGGAAGGGCAGTCATTTTAAAGATGGCGAATTGATTGAATACCTGACTGCATAAGTGGAACATAAGACAGATTGATCATACGTTCAAGGAAGTCTGATACAAAACCGATGATCGTTGCTTATTAAATTTTGCTGGAGTTTAATCCAACGTACACTGGTGAGTTTTACACGGGCCAGTCTGCGTTTGTAACATTTGAAAAATAAAATGTATACTCTGTAGGTCTGTACAGCAGAGTGTAACCTCGAAGAAAATATAACAGTGACAGGTCGATAAGAACAGCTAACTGATAAAACAACGTTATAGATTTCACTGCCCATTAAACTCCGAAAGTGCGATTACATTTCCGCTGACTGAACCACAAGCAAACTATCTCACCTTTAGTTTTAGTAGGTCAAAGTCCGGTTCAGAGAGTAGTAATAATTGTTTTGCTCTGTACTGTCCATTATCACCAAATAAAGGCAGGAACTGAATAATTGAATAAAAATTTTCTTGGATATTATCCATCGTCTAGTAAATATAAAACGTAAAAAACGACGTTTCGGAGATGGGACTCTACTCTCCGGAGATAGGGATTAGCTCTTATCTAGTGGGCCCAACTGTGTAGGAACCTGAAGACGGAGATAGAGTCCCATCTCCGAAACGTCGTTTTTTTACGTTTTATATTTACTAGACGATGGATAATATCAAAGAAAATTTTTATTCAATTGACTCTTCACCATCGTCAAGAAGTTTTGGATTTGAGGAACTGAATAGTTCAGTATCATAATATCCTCACGTGCTTTTAAGAAATATATCAGAGCTTTCGTATCGGCCAGAATAACACAGCACCAAAGTCCGCGAGTGACTGATATCAGACATAATGCATAAGCTACAACCCGTATAATTAAGTTTCTTTCGAACTTCTGAATATGATGGTTCCTACCTAAAATTCTGCTATTTATTCAATTTCCCCCGGTGTTCACCAGGAGTGGAACGGTCGAGTGCGGCACATGAAACCAGTTTCGTACAGCCCTGGATTCGCATTACAAGTAATTTCTGCACTAAACCCCCTCCCCCCTTCCCTGTCACCTTAGATCGAAACATTGTTAGTGCTTGGCAGCCATTTTATAATAAGGTATGCAGCCAAAGCTGAATTTACATCAACAGCTGTACTCCTTATTTCCACGTGTCGCTCACGATGAAAACGCGGTGGGCGATCAGCTGTTTGGAAATAACTAAGCAATTGGCGGACGGAAGATCACGAACAGGCCAACTGTAGCTATTATAATTCGACGTCTGTACAAACATCTAAACAGTGCGCCTCAGTTCAGCAGTTCCCCGATAAACACGTTCATTTTTATATTTCGGAAAACAAAAGAATATCGCTTAAAATTGTGACAAAGTTGGTAGGGACAGAATCTATGCTCGGCGAGAGAAACAGTGCATTGGTACAGTTAGCCACGACATTAAGAAAATGCCAAGTAAATTCCCTTCGCATGCATGATGACTTTTCAAAATGCACCATTTTTAAGAAAGAGTACCAAAACAAATAAAGTTATTTAAATTTATTTTTAGCTATTTTTATCAGAGGCATCGTTTCTTGACGTATTCAAGGTTAAACATAATTTTTTTTAAAAAAATAATTTTTCTTACGATAATTTCATTACAAATTTCGAATTTTAAAGAATGTACCATAAAAACTACTTTTTGTATTTTAACTTCAAAAAGATTGCTGTCTTCTGCCTCTATCACCAAGACGACGAGTCTCACTCACTGAACTGATGATGGAGGCAGCAAGTACCTCCGAAACGTCGTTAAACTTCTACCAGAATACACGGCGCTACAACCTAGAAGACAGCCATCTTAGTTAAAGATGGCTGTCTTGCCATATAGTCTGATAGAGGTTCACAGACGTTTCAGAGGTGCTTGCTGCTTCCATAATCAGGGTAATGTCTACCAGACTAGAGGGTGCAGTACCCCAGAGGACAACCATCGTAATGAAATATTGTGTTTTTAGAAAAGAAAGAAAATTAAGAGTTCTTTTATATTTTATTTAAAATGTATTGCAGAACATGTGTGAAACAACTTCATTCTATGACGTCATATGGAGTTATACTATTCGTGATTTATAACCGTACACATCCTTGATATTTAGAGCGATACTTAAACTAATCTTCTTACGCTACGACGTAAGAAAATGAAAGACACAGAAGTCTGAGGCCTCTACGTTTGAATCGAAATCATAAAAAAAATCATAACACACGTAAAGACGAACGAACAACATTAGCCAATTGTTTTAGAGACATGGAACGACTAGGGATCGAATCATACGAAGAAGAAATGAAGTAACATGCAAATACAAGAACACTACTCATCTTAGAACATGGAGTGAGAAGGCTAAGGCTAACACTTATAATGCGTACACTATTTTAAGATTTGTACTTGTTGCTATTGTAGGGTGGAATTTTATACACCGAAGGGATATGAACCAAAGCTAATCGACCTGATCCTACATACGAGAAGGACGTACATTAAACTCTGTTGAAGTATATACAACTATCGATAAGTATCGACTACTGTCGACACACAGAACATCTCGCATCGAAACAAAAGCATTTGTACAAAAACGTCAACCCTGAAGATGAAGTCAATTTGCATGCTGTGTGTTTGTGACACAGAAATGAAGGGATTTAGACTTGGCCCTTTTTTTTATGAACGAAAAATATAACGTAGTAAATCGTAGAACAAGTACCACTTCAATCTTAATCATTTAAAAGTTTGAATTATTTGCTGTTATCAAGAAGGGCACATGTAGCAAAGGAAAATACAACGCAAAATGTTTTGTAAATAAAACTGGGGTCTACGAGACAATCAGACATACGATAAAACAGACGTCACATCATCAGAAGGAGAACGGGGTGTGTAAAGTGTAAGGATTAAGGTTATAAATTATACAATATAACATTCACTGTAAAAATTAGGAGGTTAACACAACATCAAACATATACAGGCGAAAATTAACTAAGCAAACAAAACAATATAATACCACAGCCCAAAACTTAAAATGAACTTAGGCACTCACGTAAGCAGTAAACTCTACATTACACATAATGACTAAGGGAATATAAAAATAATTTGATACTTAATAATTTTAAAATAAGAACCGGTTTCCAATCAGCTGACAATGTGATTCAGCACTTAAAATTATATTAGGTAATTCAACTCTTTTTTTAATTAGTGTGCTATTAAAGTACCACATTTATATTTGTATTAAAATACAAATTTAAATATACCTCAGTAAAAATTACGTAAAAATAAAAATTCAGGAATATCGCGTCGACGAATGAATCAGACATTTTGAAAAAAAAAGACATTATTCCGTTTTTGGCTAAGATTAATTAAGAACGCCTTCGTATACCACGCAGATAGCGGGTATCAATGCACGCAGGGCTACTCAATGTTAGTCAGCTGACACGACGTTTCTAATGTGAATTGATGCTCGTGACACCTGGCGGATGTGAGCGCAAAGTTACATTCTGGCCATGTTCTTACTTGTTTTTTAAACACAAGTATTCTAGCATCAATACACTCGCGCACTGGAGGACATTTGACCTTCAAATGTTGGCAACGCACGTTATTTTTACACTGCTGAAGACTTATTTGGGACCAGTACTTTAAAAATGTGAGACATCTGTCGTTTGGTGTCACATATTCCAGACAAAGTCAAAAATATTTATGATTAAATATCAGCGTGACCTGAATATAACGGGAAATTATGAAGAAAAACTCTGAGGTTTGTTTCAGATATTCAGACAATGTTCAAATTATTGATTTGCAGCTAAAACACTGAAACTTTATACAATATAATACATAATAAAAGTAAATTACGACGAACTTGAAGTATTAAAAAGAGACAAAGATGTTTGCGATACAAAATATTACGATTAACTGTTACAAGTTCTGTTGTTATAATTAGGGCAGTATTGTAAGAGATAAAGTTTAATAATGGATAGATTGTAAAAATTACGTAATAAAATTATTAATTTAAGCTGTTACATAATAGATATCTTTAAAGAAAGGGTCTTATTCCAGAATTTTCAAAAAAAAATTCTTTTGAATACCAGTGGACATAAAATGTTATTACGAATCGAGCCAATTAACGTACGACTTGCCATGATGTGCTAGGTTACATATATATATATATATATATATGGTATACATGATCTCGGAAGTTCATGGAAACTGAAGATTTTGCAGTAAGGTCCTTTTAGAAATGACTGATTCAAATATTTTAATATAAATGAAATGAGATTCTGGTTCAAGTTCAGTTGACGGAAAATATTAGAACAATCTCTAGCTTAAAAACATAACGCAAAATATTTACGAATGTCAAGTTCGTAAATACAACACGAAATACTAAAATAATCTTTGGATCATAAAGAAATAAAAACACGTGCTCTCTGTCGGGAATATCGGGCAATGGACTTCAAGATTCGCCCACTTACCGATGTAGACCGATTGGTAACGATGTCTGTCTAGCTGACAGACATCTGGAGGTTCACGGACAATACAAGAAGGCCATCACTAGAGCCAGACACGTTCAGAAAGTTTCTTTTTTCAGCCAATCACTGGCCTACAATTCGATTCCCTGGGTGGTTTCGACCCCCAAAAGTCTTCCTAAACATATTTTATCCTCCCGATATGGAATTTAATTACGAACTGTAAAATAGCCGAGAAATTTATGCTGTTACCTTGGAGATCAACTGCAGCTTTAAGAGCGACGTTCTCTGCTTGCTGCAGAACTTTTGTCCTCTCCAGGAGCAGCATCTCCAGAGATTTGCTGGTTTCTCCCGAAGGACCTCCTACTCCTGGACCAATAGACGGGAACTCGATACTGCGTAGTATGCTGGAAAACACATCAAACCCCTTGTTAATGCCTCACAGAATAAGCACGGAATGGAAAAATAAATCTCTTCATCGTAAGATTCGGGTTCCGTCCACCTTAATGGCGACAATCTCTCTAACGGGACGGTAAAACGAGCTGATTTCGGTAGACCTGCTCCAAACACGACTCCGAAGAACCTCGTAGACCCGTCGTAACTCGTACCATTGTTTGTAATCTTCCTGTAAACCCATACAATGGGAATCTAATTCATGGCGACCCTACACAAAGCGTATATCAACAAGTAGAAGCATTGCCTTCTTCAGTTCTAGGTACTGAACACCTTCGAATATTCCATAAACTGTAAATATATTTCTTAACACTTGCATTAGACTCTAAACCAAAATTAGTTTGGAAGAGACCTCTGGGGAGACCTAGACGTAGATGGGAGGATAATCTCAGGCGGGATCTATGGGAGATAGGAGTTGAAGGAGACTGGATTTTGTTGGCCCAGGACAGGGTCCGGTGGAGGGCTTTGGTTAATTCGGTGATGAACCTTAAGGATCTGTAAGTCATCTGGTTGGTTGGGTCCACTATTTGGGAAGCCTGAGGGGAAGAGACCTCTGGGGAGACCTAGACGTAGATGGGAGGATAATCTCAGGCGGGATCTATGGGAGATAGGAGTTGAAGGAGACTGGATTTTGTTGGCCCAGGACAGGGTCCGGTGGAGGGCTTTGGTTAATTCGATTATGAACCTTCGAGTTCCGTAAGCCATCTGGTTGGTTGGGTCCACTATTTGGGAAGCCTGAGGGGAAGAGACCTCTGGGGAGACCTAGACGTAGATGGGAGGATAATCTCAGGCGGGATCTATGGGAGATAGGAGTTGAAGGAGACAGGGTCCGGTGGAGGGCTTTGGTGAATTCGGTGATGAACCTTCGGGTTCACTAAGCCATCTAGTTGGTTGGGTCCACTATTTGGGAACCCTGAGAGCAATTCATTTCGAATAGGCTTATGTTGAAATATTCCTCCTCTTAACAATAACATCGTATTATTAGCACTATTATTCTAAAATCCTGTTATGTCTGTATGTTGATATGGACCAGCAAACAGATCAGTGATGATAGACGAGCAGAAATAATTCCAAAACATAAACAGATGAAAAATATAATAAATTTTTATCTAAACAGGATTTCGGCTCAGATGGGTAATAGGAGTAATAAGATACCTTCCCGATCCCCTCCCCTTACCATTTCCAGGATGTTAGAATGGGAAGAGTTCGATGAATCACGTAATAATAAAATACATATGACAAAACTTGACTTCCTTCACTATTTTAAAATACTGTCCAGTCAGCCTTTATGCACCTCACGTGACATGTAAATCAAACTGAACATCACATGTATAAACCTAAAACCTGATAGTTGCTAACTACACATCACCCCACAGAGTATCGGGTAACACGCAAAGTGATGGAATGTTTCCAACAGGAAGTTACAACTCTTTCATCCATCCCTTTGTTAAGAAATATAATGTCATTATTCAGCAAATCCTGTTGATTTTACACAATTCAATCAGTGAATCAACGTAATGTACAGTTAAATATTTAGAAAAGGGGATTTTATTTGAATGAATATATCATATTTCTTTTCGTAATAATTGAGATACAATATACTTTTAGGATTCTATTTCTCTGTTACTTAAAACAACAAATACAGTACTGTTTATATAATATTCTGAAGGCACAATAATATAATTCAAATAAATCCTGATCAGCTCGTTATTTATGTACGTACTGATTCAGAAAGCCAAGTGGCCAATAACAGAGTCGTCACGGGCACAGTGAGAGACACGGAATAAAAGTTGACAGTGGAACCAGGGTTCCGGAGAATCTGACGTAAATACGCCTCTGTAATGTAATGTAATAATTCTTGTATAAGATAAGTACTTGTGATATTCTAAAAAGTTTTTACCAGCACAAAATTATCTACTCTACGACGCACTTCTTCTACAAGCGATTCACAGCTCAGCTGTTTCCGCAATAACGAAATCGAATTGTTGACGGCAACAACAATGGGGAGTAGATGACGTTTCCTAGGTAACAACAATGACGAGTAGATGACGTTTGCTAGGTAACAACAATGCCGAGTAAACGCGACGTTTCCTAGGTAACAACAATGGGGAGTAGATGACGTTTCCTAGGTAACAACAATGACGAGTAGATGACGTTTGCTAGGTAACAACAATGCCGAGTAAACGCGACGTTTCCTAGGTAACAACAATGGGGAGTAAGCAGATGACAACAATTAGTTTCTTAGGTAAAGGAGTAAAGCACTGTTATGCACGCAGGAGTTCATATAAAAGCTGTCCATTGTTGTCGGTCCATATTTACACATTGTTGGTATGGATCTTTCACATTTTTGTTACGCCTTTTTCCCGAATGACCCTTCCGTCATTTACGTCGAAAAAGAACGACAGATAAGTAGCTCAACCACTATCACAATAATTCTTTACTATCAGTGTGCTACGTCAACAGCCAGTAGCCCAATTACAGATATCAATAACAATAATATACTGTCGATCAAATCGTACAATAAACAAATTCCATCAGGTAAAAGCCGTTCCACTGATCAGCAAATTCTGTATAGTAAATGGATCTCGACGCTCATAATGCAGTTATCGTACGCAAATAACATTGTCTTACTGGACATTACTCCTTAACTTTCTAAAACCTACAACACCAATGTGACGGATCGTCCTCCGCCATAAAGCCATAACCCATGATAACATGAGATGCCTGATAACGTCATTCCTAATGATCGCAACATCGCCAGTGGACGGACGTTCACGAAATCTATGATTTACTTTTCGTGAATGTCGTCAAAGTGGCAGCCCTGGTTTATTATAAGTTCCAAAAGTACGTATATGCGCTATATATATATATATATATATAATATTAAGGGTAATATCCAGTATAATGATATCTGACAAGTCAGAAGTACCACATTATGGGCTGAGATACTGGGATTCGTCCTCTGTCCAGTGGATAATGGGAATTCATTCGATGCATATACAAGAGCGGATGTATGTTTCGTTGAGCAGAATTCGCTAGGTAACATCCAGTTTCATCTGTACTGCTCCCCCAGTATTGTGAGGGTGATTAAGTCGAGAAGAGTGAGATGGGCGGGACATGTAGCGCGCATGGATGGGACAAGAGGTGTGCACCGGGTACTGGTTGGGAAGCCTGAAGGGAAGAGACCGCTGGGGAGACCTAGACGTAGATGGGAGGATAATCTCAGGCGGGATCTATGCGAGATAGGAGTTGAAGGAGACTGGATTTTGTTGGCCCAGGACAGGGTCCGGTGGAGGGCTTTGGTTAATTCGGTGATGAACCTTCGGGTTCGGTAAGCCATCTAGTTAGTTAGTTAGTTAACATCCAGTTTCATAGAATGTTAGTTAAAACCGTCCATACAGCGTCGCTGTATATCAAAGAAAAGTGACGAGAGAATCAAATAGCTCGTTACACGTACTTACACTCGTCTCGTTCGTTTGTTTGTATGTTTGCTTTTGGGATGAAACTCGGGGAAGTATCCCGAAACGCCTTCTGCGCGTCCTTACTGACCTGAGCTCCCTCTTGACGTCATCGTAGTCCCTCTGAGCATCGAGACGTGCCTCGAGACGAGCGATGTGCTGTCGTTTGTGGTCCAGCTGTTCATCCAGCCTCGCGATTTGACCCGAAGAAGTCTCTTGGAGTTTGGTGATGCTCGCCTGCAGCCTCTGAACTTCTTCAACCATCTGCGAGATCTGCAAGAAACAAAAACCTTCATGACCTGGTCGTCCGAGCCAACTAACCTTGTGAAAAATACACAGCTTGCATCGGTCGTGTAAGAGCTCTGTGGTGAATATCCTCCTTGAGGAGCTCATCTAATCAAGAAATTCTCCGGCTATTATAGGTCTTGAAGGTTCATTACCGTTTAACATGAGTCCGCTAATGGACCCTGTCCCAAAACAGTTGAAAAACGTCCAAAGGCTAACCCGGGATAAAGAGATGACACTTCAAATGTGGGTACAATCTAAAACGATCTGTATAAAACTATTAATTTAAGATTAATTTTAATATTATACTCCCGTGAACCCCTAGTATATTCTAATAGTCATTTCCCTTCAAGTTTTTTCCGATTACAGGTTCGAATGCATTTCACATCACTCATGCGTGCTACATGCCCGGAAAATCTCATTCTCATTGATTTTGTTTCCCCACTAATATCTTATTAGTTATGAAGTTCTCAATTTGGCCAACGCAATTTCGCCCGTCCATTACTTTCTGTACCAGAAAACTATCGGATTTCTGACATCTTCTATTACGGAACTAATTGCCGACTATTTTAAGGTAACGATTTCAACGTCTCGACGTGCCGAGTTCGCAGCTAGAATGCTGACCATTGCAGTCCGTATTAAGTAGACCCAATACGAACTGAAGCACGGCGAAGTATAACATTTTATAATGTTTACCCTGATTCTGAATTTCCTCCTGTCGCTTATTTGCAGATATGGAAGAAACTTTTGAGCGTCTCTGATGAATAACTTCCAGAAAGAATGATAAGGGATCCAGCAACAACGAAGAATTAGCAGATGCGTCATTTTTCTTGAAGACATAAAATAACCCCTGCAGACATTACGCGTAATGTGGATATAATAAAAGCTTCTTTGGAGGAGGGGATGGGGCGGGGGGGGGGTCCTCCACACCTTCGTCCGACTCTGTTCGAGGAAGTACACTTGTACTCACTGACTTCACTCTAATTAAGAAACAACCTAACGACACTTTCATGCAAATGTTTTTCAAACTCCTCCCAGCACACAACAGCGGTAAAGTAAGTCACATTTTCATTTCTGCCCCTCCTTCCTCGAAACTAAACAAATTACCATTATATTCCATATCGTGCATCCACCCCTAGAGACGCATAAACATGGCTCGGAGAAACGTCATCACCTACGCCTTTTCTCTCCCTAAGACTGTATCTTCATTTCTGTTATAATAACGTCGAGTACCTGAAACCTCCGACAGTTAAGTGAAGATTATTTGAAGATGGATAAAGTATATCTGCATGGCAACTATAAGTTTACAAGTAGCCAATCTGAAATTCAAAGCGAACTACGTGAACCAGGGTCCTTCTTGAAAACATGGCACTTTTTCACCTAATAAAAATATTCCATTCGTTGACGGGACCTAAACATTCATTAAAGTGTTCATAACGGCCGTTCACTGCATCTTATCCTGACGCAGTAGAATCCAGGCCACACATTCTATTGCTTTAAGAGTCATTATAATAGACTATCAGCCCGTTCTGGGTTCAATACACTGTTTTCGAGGGCGACAAATTTTTTTATTCCTTGTGGATAATGATTAAATATTTTTAAATCAATTTTGCCTTTTTAAATATTCTATATATTTTCTCTGTGCCATCCAATTGTGTCCTTTGTTGCTAATATGTACAAATCGATTCTGATTTCATAATTCATTGTCTTATATAAACAGGTACCATTTTAATATATGTACATCTCCCAAATGATCATCCCTTTCATACTTTTAAAACTTGCATTTTACGTATATCTAGTCGGTCACAGGTGTACTACATGCCACGCCAATCTCACCTTCCATGACCTCAGCACCATAAAAAATAATAACAAATTACGAAGCAAGCAAGGAATTTCTTCGCATTAAATTGAAAAATCTTTAAACATCATCATCACCGTAAATATTATGGACCTTTTACCTGTATCATTTCCGATGATCATTCATCTCCTAAAGGGTCTTCCTTGTTCTAATTTTCCTTTGAGCGTAGCCCAAATTTTAACATTTGTTCTTCAGAGCGTTCATACCCCATATGTTTAATAAGAAGTCTGCACAAAATTCAAGTGTCCATCTGTGACAGAGCCAGTATCTTCAGAATGTAAGATTTTTAACCAGCATCACTACCCAACCTCGGGCTTCGCTTCAGAACCATCCACTGCATCCTGTTATCCAATGCTGTGCAACAGTCCTGTCGGATTCGTGAATTAAAATACGTCAGACATTCAAACCAATACCACGACGGTCTTAACAAAATCAAACATCTACAATTGTGGTATCTTCGCGGTGGAAGCCGAACCGGGAACACCAGAAGACTTCAACGTTACCGTCAAAGCAAGAAGCAAAGTTCCGGGAACGTAATTCCTGAATATGGACAAACAATGACGAAACCGAACGAGAATTACGCAAAAAAAAAATCGTGTTAATATTTCACAGAAGACCACGCCGCTAAATCTAAATGTCTGAAAGCAACACTTTTTTCCCTCATTTTATATTATTCCTCCTCTCTCCCCACCCTTAAAAACAACAAAAAACCTTCCCCATATCGTTCGCCTTAGGAGAACTACGAATTGCTGTACATTCAGTGACAGTTTTGTATCGGAAGTGGATAGAGAGCAGCACTTTTGTTCCAGATGAGAAACAGAGTAAGAGAGAGAGAGAGAGAGAGAGAGAGAGAGAGACGCATTAAAAAGAGTAAGAGGGACGACTGCCACGACGGTGGCGCCGCGACGCGCATGCAATGACCGATAAAACGCTGGTGCTGCTACTGCGGCCAAAATCCGAACGAACGAAGCTATAAGCCTTATTTCTATAACGAGTCATGCATTACTCACCCTCTTTATACATGCGAGAATGAGACGGAGAAAGAATGAGATAGCAAAAGGATACATTTTTGCATCCATTCTCCACAATATCTCTGAAACCCATAGCAAATGAACGATCTATTCCATAGAATGAGGCAGGAGGGAATCCGTAAGCCACGAACATACAAAAAAACCCGGAGAATGTTACATATATACACTATAGCTGTAAGGCCGGATAAAAACGATATGGCTATTGAGCCTGAAGGCACGGATAGGAAACAGAAAGGAAAGGCTGGGATGGTAAAGAGGAGGGGGTGGAGGAAATTTTGCAAATGGAACAGATTTTGAACGTCAAACTCAACCTCTCACACTCGTCCGCCTCCTCTCCTTCTCGCCCCTTCTTCTCCAACCTCCGAAAAACCCCTTTACCCCCACCCACCATCTACCCAAACGTTCGCTCTTTTTTTTTTGTATTATTTTCACCCACTGGACAAAATCACTCATTTTCTTCTCTCATACCTCTTTTGCACAGCCCTATCACACTCTTCCTCTATGGCAAATCGGTATACTTCAACCCCTTTCCTCCCTTACACCGTTCATCTCACCCCCGCTTCATCCCTTCAGCAGCAGCAGCAGCATCCCCCTGACAGTACAAAGTTCCTCTAGACTAGTACGTCACAGATGAGTTTTTGTTTGGTTGGATTCTGACAAATATATATATAGATATAGATATAATGTATATTCATCTAAGAACGTTCGCCGTGAGATGTTTTTGGCGGATGGTTCCTGCCCAATTTCCACTCTTTTTGGACATCGGAAAAGAATCTCACTGTGACCTTCGAATATCTGAATTAAGACAAGAAACATATAGTGTTGCTAATAAGCAAAGTTGATCACAAAGACGTTTTCGTGTACCATGACCAAGTTAAATTTCTTTTGAATCAAATCCTCTCCTGTATCCACCCCCATATTTTAAAAGAAGTCAGAATTTTTCAAGTCACATTTCGTTAGAATCTAGGAATTCAACTTATTCTGCGTCCTCTGTAAGAAACAAGTCCCTGACTCATTTAAACATCTCACGAATCAAAATGTCTACATGTTTCATAACATTACGGTCAGAATGCTGTTTAAGACAAACTATTGCAGACGTATTTTTTTGCCCGAGAGACCACCGCTCGTGAGTGATCTCTGGTGTTAACTGCCCAATTTCAGATGATAATTAGAGGTCTTAAGTCCTTCGCCAATGTCACAAATTATCTATCACCCCAATGCGTAGTAAACTTTTACACAACTCCATTCGTCCCTCCACCCCCTTGGTTCCTTCATAGGCCTTCGTTGAAAGATAGTCTAAGTCTCTGCTCTGAAGTAGCCCGAAGGATCATTGCCCTTTATACAGAAGCCACCATTGGACCCTATCCTGAATCAATTTAATCCCTTTCGTATCAACCTTTCATTTCACTACGATCCACCGTCTACTAACGTTATCACCTAGTTGTCAAAAGCAATGTCCTCCCTTCAAGTGGGCCCACGTTTCACTGCAACTACACACAATCATAAAACTACAGATGTCTTATGAAACCGCAATACATAGGCCGATTAAAATCCATTCCTTAAAAATTAAATAAAATAATACACATACAAATTGAAACCATATAGTGTAAACCCTTAGATGGTTTATCCCAGTTCCTCTAATGTCGAGAAATATTTTGTGTCCTTTTATAAATGTATATCACGTAATGGAGTTTAAAATTCGGTCTTAAACATGTTCTCTGATGTATAAAGTGTATTCAATACCGGAGACAGGACCGTCCAATCGCACAACACTTCCTCGATGTGTAATTATTCAGATACGTGAAATACGCCAAGAAATATTCTTAGTCATGAAAACAGGATCAGATCCTCGCATTCTGTAGCTTTCGAATCGATAGGAAACGACATTCAGTTAGTTATCTACTATTAAATTTCCTAACGGGCACAAATAAGACGCGGAAACCTATCGACGGATGCACATAAACCTAGCAGCCTCATAACTCAGACTTTTAATGCAGGTTCTTGAAAAACAGATTATTTATTATTTTAATTTCTTCCAGTTAAGCAGAAATTATAACAGTATGATACGAATTATTTACTGGTTATGTAAACAAAACAGG